TCTGCTCATCTAGGGCAGTCTGAAAAACTGACAACATACATGTACAATTAGGTAGTTAACAGCTTTCGTCGCCCATTCATCGGCTTATCAGTAAGCCAAGATAATAGTCCCAAAAAATATTGATGGCAAAATAAGCTAGATGGCTTGATGCGTTGGAACAATCACCGCGACGACATTGCAGTATTCGGTCTCCCTTGAAGAGCATGACGAACGGCCGAATGTCTCATCACCCTGATGGAAACTGCTGGTTCCTTAGCATAGTCAACAATGTCTCACACTACACCCCAAATTGCGCAGACAAAGTTGCTCCCTTCAGCGATCTTCTTCGAAAAGATGTACCATTTCTCTGGGAAGAGGACCATCAAGCTTCTTTTACAACCCTTGAACACTCCATCTCAACTCAGTCCTGGCTACGATTCTCCGACACACTGGTATAGAAACCATCCTCAAAGTAGATGCATCTGAAAGAGGATTGGGCAACACCCAGGAAGGTAAATCCATCGCATTTTCCTCAAAGATCCTATAGATCCTCTTCCCAGAGCATATTCTCGAATATCGAGAGGGAAGCTGTGACACTGCTGCAACTTCATTCGGCTCCAACTTCATTGTTGTCACTGACCATTAAAACCATTGGTTACGATCTGGCGCAAAATCCTAGCCAATACACCACACCGCTTGCAGCGTCTTAAGCTACAAGGATACAACTTCGACGATGTCTACAAACCTGGTGCTATGATGGTGATCGCAGATGCACCCGGCAGATTGCCCAACCCCTCCAAGCTCGACAACGAGACATGTGATGAATCTGTAACTTAGATACACTGGGATGGGCACCAGACTGTAACTTATGTTACATTTTTTTGTCCGCCTATCTTTGGAATAAGTTTAAACATTTAAGATACCAATAATCAATTACGAAAACTCTCTTGGCATAGTATTTGAACCATTCTCTCTGACTTAAGAACCAAAACTCACAATACCACTTACGGTTTGCATGTTAAAACAAGGTGCCAAAATGATAACCCCAAATCCTTGATTTGAGCACCAATTTTGTTTTTTTTTTTACCAAAAAAGGGATTTTTGGCAAAAAAACACCCTGTACTACATTTCATCCCACTGACATACCACTCAAATGAAAGATCTTGTTGTTCCCTTTAATATGATACCACATTTGTTGTTGTGATGCTTGTCGTTCTGAAGATATTATCAATTTATATGTTTTTCATGTAATAATTAGCTGATGACGTCATAATGACGTCATACATGCCCTTCCCATCATCCAATTTTTTGCATCCGTCTTTTTTTCGAAAAGGTATACCATGGAGATGCTTTGGTGAAAAAATGGTGCTTTTGTCCACCGTGTCACGATCCTTGGTATTTTTGTCACTAAGGTACCTCACTATCAGCGATAAGGCAGGGACAACGTCTGCCTTCATCAAATATGTGCGGCGTCATCACCCTATGTAGGCCTAGCTAGGTTTTCTTCCTTGCGTGGTTGTTATTGTTATTGTCTAATGTCTATGACATGTTTGTTTCAATTTCTTTAAAAGTCTAATAAAGCTAAATTACCGGTAGTGTCCAAAACTGTCCAAACAACACAAATCTGTGTTTCATGATTGATTTTCAATATGCATTTGTTTTTATGTGCATTTTGGCCCAATTTAAAAGGAAGATACAACATTTGCAAACATCAAAACACGAAATTATCAAATTATCACGAAATACCTAACTGGATTGTTAGGGACTGACAGTCTAAATCATCCTGTAAAGTTGTGGCTCCTGGTGTGCTGACATTTCCAAGAAAAACTGTATTTTTCCAACGCTGGTTGGCCGACCAGTGTTGGAGAAAACTGGCTTTTTTCAAAAAGTAATCCTAATTTTTCATATTTAGTTCGTCTGCATTTTCTTTGCAATTGATTACACACCTGTGAAGACTACAAGCCTGCTAGACTGATTCTCTGATTTGACAATTCCCCAAAGTCTATAAATTGCTCCCTTTCATCTTTAGTAGGGTCAGGGAACCAGACTACAAGAATATGATTTTTTTTCCCCTTTTTTTCTAGCATCTACGAACCCAAAACGTGAAACAAGTCAGTGTAACAATATTTGCTGTAACATACTAATCCTCCAAATCCATTTATTTCTGAAAATTGCAGCAAAAGCAAATGTTGTACATTCCCTTTAACACTGGAAGTACTATTGTTATTAAAGAGGTTGTGGAATGCTGAAAGTCGTTTTGTTTTTTATATTTTTTTTATCGTAGAGTTGACCCATATATATATCATAATGACAAAGCCCCATTCTTTTGTAGTGTGCGTTTATATGTTTATAAAACTGAAATTCATCAAGTAATTTGTTGGTCGGCGAGCGCATAATTGAAATCAACAGTCGTCGGGTTCTTCGTAAAATGAGAAAAATCGTGACATAATAAACAGGACTTGTTTATACTACGCTGCATCCGGAGTCCTGTTTATTATGTCACGATTTACTATGTTTTGTTTGCTGCCCCCAACGACGCTTTTTACACAAATTGCACGTTCAGGTCGAAACAGGACCTGAAAAACAGCTCTCAAAAAAGTACCTTTTGTACTCATTTCATGACAGACACATTGGTCGTTTTTATTTCATCACACCTTAGGCTACATATACCCAAAAAATGACGGAAATGTCTTCGAGCATTCCACAACCTCTTTAAAGTTGTAGTTGGTTCAGTAATGTGAGCCTTCATTCAATTTCATATTCCTTTCTTGATTTATTCAATTCTTTATTTAATTTTTGTCTGTTTTGTTTTGTTTGTGCATAGGCCCTTAATACAATAACATAACTTATACAAAGATGATTTACATGTGTTTATTTATAAATCCGGTCTTGGTCTTGGTCTCAGACTGTCGGTCTCGGTCTTGGACTGCTTTTTTCGGCCTGGTCTTGGTCTTGGTCTTGGACTGCTTTTTTCGGCCTGGTCTTGGTCTTGGTCTCGGACTGTCGGTCTCAGTCTTGGTCTTGGTCTCAGACTTCCTGGTCTTGACTACAACACTGGTGGTGATCTGTCAGGATATTTCTTATATTTGTTTAATCTGAAATCATTTTAAATGGACTCCTGATGGCATACTTTTGGCAGAACTGTATTTTCCTATTGAATAGCAGGGAGTACTCGGCTGGGAGTGTTCTTTCTTATGCAGATGAGGAAGTGTTCTGCTTGAGTGGAGCTGTGCAGCAGCAAGGCGTGCAGGCAGCCATTGACGGTTTTCACCACAGCCGATACAGACGTCCTTACTTTTCTCCAAGAAAAAGCAGTTGCGAGGTTCCGAGGACACCTTTCCAGAAGTGGTGTTTAATTATCACACACAGACAAAATACACTTAAGGTCTTTTAACTTTTTGTGATGAAAGTCACAAGAAGGTGAGGTAAGAGTAAACAATGCGATATTATATAATCGATGTTGGTCGAGACTCACGGTGAGTTAGAAAAATTGTTAGTACGTTGTAAGTTCACGGACTCCGTCGGCTGCTCATCGAAGAACCGTGCTCCCCATATATATGTGTATTTAACATGTTTTCTTACAGTGAGGGATGACAGGCGCAATAGGAAATAATTTATTTCCGTTTGAGCTTGCGAATTAGGAAATAAGAATATTACATATTGGATATCATTTCCTGTGCACCCTTTTAAATTAAAGTATCTTATGGGCAATACCATGATAATGTGAACATGGCTGAAAAATGGAAAGTTTATGAAAATCTTAAAAATATAGGTACCATAACCCCAAATGTGGTATCAAATTAAAGGGGACAACAAGAACTTTGATTTAAATGATGTGCCAGTGAGATGGAATATGGTTAAGTTTATTTGTTTCTCAAAAAAATGGTATTTCACCTGTAAAGTATGGATTTTAGGTAGTCATTTTGGAACCTTGTTTTTACATGCAAAATGCAAGTGTTATTGTGAGGTTTTTTTAGTGAAAGAGAAAAAGGTTTATTATCTATGCCTAAAGAGTTTTTCGGATTATAAGTTTCTTAAATGTTTAAACCTGTACCAAAGATGGACGGACTGTAATGTGAGTGACCGCAACGTGCGTTGCCACAATATATACCTCTCTCAGATTTTATAATTGATTATTTTTTGATAATTGTAATGGTAGAATATGACTTGTAATCTAATGATGTAAGGGCACTAAATCTAAAAAAAAGAAGTTTTCCATCAGTGCACAGTATGAGTAAAACCCTCAAATGTAAGGTATTTAATTTTTCCATGTCCTTTTTGTGTAACGTGACTTGCCAATAAAAAAACTCATTGCCAAACCAATAGAAGTTCATTTTGTTGGCGTTTAGTCACTTAATTTCTGTGAAAAAAGTCCACCCTAACTGCTTTGGCTTATAGAATAACAGCACAGAGTTGACAGAAGACCCGCTCCAAATGCAACGTGAGCTACCGTGGAATTGCCCTTATGCAATTGTGACGATGTTTTTTTTAAAACAAATTCAGTGACCCTGAATGGAAGTGTGATTTTTTCTTTACAATTCAGTGACCCACTCAGAATGGGTAAAAGGAGGTACATGTACGGCTGTCTTTTCAAGAGACCATGATGCAAAAACAACTCAGCGCTGAAAGCTAGCATTTGTGTGCTTGCAAGATGAGGTTATGTTTAAAACATGTTTTATTTTGATTTGAGGCACTCAACTGAAAACCTCTGCGAAATTCAGGCTTAGCAAGGAATGACCATGTTGTATATTCTGCTAGTATTTGCAAAAATGTTCTTAGTCAAATGGTACCTCGCATTACTTGAGCTAATGGCATAACCAAAACAAGTGGATTTAAGAAATAATTGTGCATATTCAATCCATATTTCTGCAAAAAGAGTTGTATATATGTGATGATGTTGATGATGATGTTGGGAAAGAAAATGGCAATATATGCTTTAAAATCACAATATTGAGTAAGTACAAATGTACAGTTGTCTCATTCTGCCTTTATATTCTATAGTTACAAAATCAATTACTGACCTTTCAAAGCAACTTTTCCAGTCTTGGATATACTTCCACAGCGCAGCAAACTCGCTAAAATTTATTGTTCCATTTCTAGAATAAGAAAAGAAAATGCTTAAATATGAAAAGAAACACTTTTAATTCTGAGAAGATGACTAATGTAAAGATATATGTATATATAATCAAAAGGCTCATGAATCTCACCAAATAATGTATGTGCGAATATAGGAGAGTTTGAGTGTTTTCAACAATTTTTACCACAATACCCTTCTCATGACATAGCCAGCTGGGGTTTAGGGCGGTATTTAAACCCCCCTCCCCTATTTTTTAAAGAGTGCCCTTTGTACATAAGTACCCCTTTTCACCAGCGGCCCCCCCTCTCAATATATTGTAAAGAGTGGCACTTTTTTTTTTTTACACAAGTGCCCTTTTTCACCAGTCGCCTTCTTAACGAGTGCCCTTTAGGAATGTCGCGTGAACATTGGCAATTGTGCCGCCCTGAAAAGTGCCACATTTTGTCCAATAGTGCCCACGATCGTCTTGTTTGAACAACACCCCCATAGAAAGATGGTGTCCAGCACCACCCCCCCCCCTTTTCTGCCAGGTGACCAGTGGAAAACAAAATTGTCTACCTTTCAGCAAGAATAGGGCAAGTATCCTTTTCACGTCTACCACCCCCCTATAAATATGACCTTACTACGCCACTGCTTCTAGTGGGAAACAAAAAATCTTCAGTCTGTTAATATGCAGTGTGGCAGTTCAGATTCTCATTCCCTGTTGGCCTGTATGTTGTATGTACACAATTCATGCTAGAAGACAACTCAATACGTAGACACAATTGTATGAAGGGACGTTATTGCATACAAATATTCCAGGCTTGCTTTGGGGGTATTTTTCCACACTCCCCCCCCCCCCAAAAAAAAACACCACACATATGAAGAAAAAAAACCTGTATAGCACCTCTAAATTTACAAACAAAATCAACTGTACACCCATAATAGACCTTATTCACATGGAAGTCATCTTCAATCCTGTTCCCTGAATCTTTATGATAAACTATAAACTGCTGAATGGGATGGTGCCAGACAATTTTATGATTGGCCTGCGTTCCAAGCCTCACTTTAAAAAAAATGTTTTAGTGTGGTTATTAACATTATTTTTTAATATTTTTTAAATAGTTTTTTCCAATTCAAATTTGCTAGACATTTAATCAACATTGTTTCTAACATAATATAAAAATTAATTTTATAAATACATGTAAAAACAAGAATTGAATCTACCTTAGAATATGAATCAGCAAAATACACAATGGAACGTTAGGTGTAGGGTGAAGCACAGCTTTTGTTCCCCAACCTTTGGACAGAAAATTACAATACATGTAACGAATAGGGACAAACCACAAGGACAAACAAGAACATAACAAGCAGGAGTAAGATAATAATTTTCAAATATTGTAAGAGTTGAGGAATTGAGTTTTTAGCTTTTTTACGAATATAGGTAAAGTTGGAGATGTTTTAAACAAGGCTATTTTTTAACATTGAAGTTCTATTGGAACAAACATAAAGATTTTTCTTTGAAACACTTCTAGTATATGAATATTCATACATGAGTTTACCCACATTCAGATATTAAAGGTCATTAAACGGTAAGAGCTTGACGTTGACAAATAGGGGATTAGTGTTGTCATGATAATTGGCATTACATATAATACGAATAGCTCTTTTTGTAACAAGTTAATCACACTGAGAAGAGCAACTACCCCATGTGAGACTGGTGGGACTGGGATGGACCACGGTTTGTACGAAAATTGCCCATGCCCGTCTTTCCATATACATGGCAAAGTTCCGGACTTTGCTTGTGACATCATCAGAGATGAAGATGGATGATCCCTTGTACTGATTCCTTTTCAGTAGCTTGGCTGCATTTCTCAAGACGTATTGCCGATCAGCATTTTATTTACCAAAAGTCTTCACACAAACATCAGCTATTCTGGATGGCGAGCCAATGTGCTACAACAGTTCAATATATGAGTACAATGTAAACTTAAGCAAGATTTTATCATTTCTGTGGCCTTTAATTTAAACCTCCTACTGATAGAGCTGTCACAAGCTGTCCAAAAACAAACCGATTCCTCTCCCATAGCTTTTGTACAGACTGGTCACCAACTGCCAGAACCCCTGGGGTATGACAGACAGGGTGTCATTGAATACTGCCATAACTTGTACTGCAATTCTATAGACCTTATGCGTAGCAGCCATTGCCCTCTAATGCCTTTGTTTTGCTGTGATATGCATGAGTGAACATTTTGTGCCTTCATTGTTACTGAATTAAATCAATCATTGCCAGGCACTCAGCTGTACTTAAACCCACCATATTACTGTCAGTCAAGGCATGGTACTTTCAGTTGACAAAATTGCCACAGTCTGTCAATTCTACCAATATGAGCCCAATTTGCAAAACTGTTTAAAAAGTATCACTTGATAGATTTGACAGATAGTCCTTTTGGCACTGAGAGAGGGAGGGTTAAAGAGATTATTTGTTAATTGATACTAAGTTGTACTTTTAATATCTAAACTGGCTAAAAGCATAGGACTAGGACATGCTGCAACTCAACCAGAATAAGACAGAGTTCTTTGTATTTGCCAATAATCGCATACTTCCCTCTATCACCAACATTGAGTTAAGATTAGAAGATCTCCTTATTCACACTTCCACATCTATTAAAGATTTAGGCATCATCCTGGATTGTTCATTGAACATGTCTAATCATGTCAGCTATATTTGTAGAATTGTCAATGTTCACATTCGGAACCTATGCCACATCCGCCGATTTCTCACACAAGAAGCCTGCCATCATGCTGTCAGAAGTATGGTCCTCTCCCGCCTTGACTACGCCAATTCTACTTTGTTTGGAGTGCGTGAACTTGACCTGAAACGCCTACAACGCCTGCAAAATAAGGCAGGCGGCTAGTCTGGGCATGTGGATGGGACCAGCCTTCTGGTAGCCTGCTGGCAGAGCTGCATTGGCTTCATGTTAAACAAAGACTTCATTTCAAAATGTTCACACTCATTTACAAAATTCTTAATGCTCAAGCTCCCTCTTACCTTGCTGATTTAATACACTTACATAACGATACTGTCCCTGATGTACACAGGCATCGACTCCGCTCATCCTCAGACTTGACCCGGCTTTCCATTCCTAGATCTAAAAGGAAGGCCGGGGACAGTGCCTTTGCAGTCGCAGCGCCCCGCCTGTGCAACATGCTCCCCACAAGTCTGAGAGAAGCTGCTTTGTTGCCTGTCTTTAAATGCCTCCTCAAGACATTTCTTTTCCCAGAACCTTCCTGATATGCTTGTTTACTTTGTTAGTTTGTAATTGTTAGTTTGCTTTTTGTATTGTGTACATTTTCACATCTCTCCCCTCTTTGTTATTGTAAGGCGCTCTGTTCTTCGTATAGCGCGATATCAATATTTTGTATTATTATTATTAGGACTATGGGCCTTATTCATGAGTCAGCCATGTTGAATTGAAAGTGAGGTAAAATCTTAAGAGAAATGAAAGCAAGTACATTACTAACTAATTAAAGTCTGCTTAAATGACTAATTTAACATTTGTAATTAAACATTCCCTAATGTTTTAAGCCAGATTAAAAACAAAATGAAAGCAAAATAAGGATGCATAAAAAGTCTGGCGCCATCCCATTCAACAGTTAACAATTTATGAAATACATTTAGGGAACTCGACAAAAATGGCTACCTCGTGAATAAGGTCCATTGAAGTACTCACTAATCTTTGCAGTACAAATACCACTCCACACCCAATGCATACGAACCTGACAAAAGCATTTCTCCTTCAACTGTTACAACTACAAATTATGTAACAAGTACAAGATATAATTCATTAAAATAATCACTGAGTTGACCAACCTGTCTTTATCAAACATGCCAATCATCAACCTGCATGTTTCTTCATTAAAGTGGGACCAGTTGCCATTGACCAGGGCTTGTCTTAGTTCTGTTGCAGATATAGACCCACTATGGTCAGCATCAACAGCCTGATGAAATATAAAAATCATGAACAGCAAAATAAACAAAGGGCTTCAAATCAGACCAACCAGACCCACCCCGAACTCAACCAACTCCTAACCAAACAAACCCCCAAAAACCTAGCAATTTATCATGCAGAGGTATGATGGGAAGAATAGTCCAATTCTGTGGGAACAAATGTACATGTACGTATGGTGCCCATAGTATGGCAAAATCAATCTCCTGCACAGTCTCAGCAAAACAACTTGTAGTCTAATTTGAATGAATGAGAGAATGGGATTAGCATTGATCAATTGATTTGATTTAGGTTTGACATTTATTATTTTAAATTCAATGTACCATTCAGAAGAAAAGCAATTTGAGAGTTTTCATTAAAAGACAAACCAGACAAACAAACAAAAAAGAAGAGAAAGGCTCCAATTCTAAGATGTGATCAGAATAGAGCTTGAACAAACAAAACAAATGTATCAGTATACAAATGAAACATGCTTTGAGGGTTGGTAATCAATACTAGCTCCCACAGGTTATTAGCTCCCAGAGCTGGCCGAGGGAACTAGTCAGTCAACTTCCAATACCAAGTGGAAGTCGACTTTCAACCCGTAATATGAAAAAAAATGACTTGGGTACAACACTGGCGATAGTCTACTTCGCCTGCAAATTTAATCTGTGCGTTAACCTTGCATGCGCACTTAGTCAGCAGTAAAACCAGTGGATAAAACGTGATGGTGAATGGACCACTTAGAACTCGGCTTTCGATCATGTGTTGCTTTTCTTAAAGTACCTGGCAGCTGTAATAAACTTTATATTTTTCATTTCTCCTTATAAGATTCACCTGATCAGCTAAGGAATGAGATCCGGAATGGGACCGTTCGAGAACCGGGCGAGCTCGGCCCGCCCAGTAAGCTGCCGCCCGCTTCGAACACTGTACCCGCCCGGTTACTCAAGCGTGGGGCTCGGTTGACTGCTGGAGTGGGCCCCTGGGTCACAACAATAGTTGCTATCAACAGATTAGTGGTTATTGTTCGAGGATTACAGCGCCCAACTCAGGTTGGGTTGGTGTGGAATTTTATTCTTTTCTATCTTCATAGAATGCAAGTATTTTGTTTTTGCATGAAATCATTTGACAAATAAACTTGATACAACTGCCTAGTTTGCAAAGTTCTATATATAAACAATGGTTAAAAAGCTAGATGATCAAGTTGTGATTTTTTTTTCTTTGAATTTTCGAAATACGATGTTCGATAATTATATTCTCGGAATTGATCAAATGTACGAAATACCTCATTCTGTATTATTTGAAATAAAGTATTCCCCATATGACGAATATGAATTGTTTTGCGTGTGGTAATAACGTGATGTTTTTGAATTTTAGACTACAACACCGCACTTGCCCCTTATTCACGTTAATTCATACGCATTTTAAACAGAAAAGTCTGATACCCGTTTGAGAATAGAAGCGGGTGGGGTGGGCTTGGCCCCCGATCGGTATGAAGTGGCCCACTCGGTAGCCCCGATCAGTATGAATAGTGGGCACTCTTTTATTCAAGCGTGACGCTCGAGAAGCGGGTGGGAATGACTTATTCAAGCGTGAGCTTTTGGTGACTGGAGTGGCTCTCTTGGTCGTTATCAACGGATTAGTGGTAGTTATTGTTCAAGGATTACAGCGCCTGGCCAACTATGGTTTGCCCTGGCTATGATTAT